ATATTTTGTAAAATACTTGAATTTCAATGAGTAGCAATGCTAATAGCTCCTTCTTTCTAATCTGTGTCTGTGACAGGCAACTGTGATATGGCTTTTGTGCTGTCAGCAATTATTAACTGGTAAGTAGGATGTGTCAATTCACTTGCTGAAGAACAAACAAGATCATACAATTTTCCTGCATGTTTGACTTCTCATCTCAACTGAGGAGATGGGTGAGGAGGCAACATAAGTGGCATGCAGACAAAGGGAAAAGTGAACTTTGGAATTAGTGCATTCATTTGCAACGCTGAGAAACGCTTCTACCACCCACATTCCGTCTATTAAATGGTACTGAAGAATGGTATGAATTCTCACAAGTGATATAAATATTTCATTAAAAAAATAAGCTGGTGAATGAAGATCAGATTTAATCATAATCAAAGTTTGTCCAGTCATCACTGCACTGCCCAGAGAGGTCCACAAAATAGAAATCCTAACACAGAGCATAACAAATACATTTCTTAAATAGTTCTTAGGGGAATGGTGCTCAAGGCTTTGCAGAAGGATTGCAAGTTTACATAAATGCTATGAAACAACACAGGGATATTTAAAAGAAGCAAAAGTAGGCGAAAAAAAAGGGAAACAACACATTCTCATTCAATCACACTGTACCATTAATATATTAGCCAGCTGAGTGGATACCCAGTGGGTCCTTACAGGTGGCTGATACCTCCCATTGGACAAAAAGCTAATAAAGAAATCAGTGCTGAAAAGAACATTCCTAAAAACCACAACTGCATATTTCACTTTCTTTCAATTAAGTTTTGGGCAACTGAGGGATTTAACTTGTTTTTCTCTTGTGATTTTAAGTTACTGAACTTGAAAGAGCTTTGAATAAATCCAAACTGTAAAATTATCTTCCAGAACAAAGAATAAGTTTCTAAAACTCAATATTAAATCACCACATCGACTAAGATTTGAAAATAATATGGATAAATGAGTGTGTTTTGAACTAATTTGAAATTCTAAAATTGTCTTGCAAGCACATGAACTTGCTGTAATATTTTTATTGGTACATGTGATATATTTTGACATAAAAAGCTGTTAAAAGAACCAAGCTTTGGGGCCTTCATTTCTCTTTGCCCTATTCCAACATGTCTGAGTGTGACAATGGAACCAGTTTAGACAGCAAACACTAATCTCCTCATAAATTCAATTGTCATGAGGTATGTTTAACTGTGCCCAGATATGACCGAGTTTACACTGAAAAAAACACCCAATAATCCCAGGAAGGAATGTTAAAGTCAGACACTAGGCAGTGAGAGAGTGAGCCAAATTTGATTTTACTTTATGTCAAAAATAAGTACAGAGTCAGTGACTCAGAGCTGACTATACTCTGTGACTAATCTTAGACCACCATAAATTAGAAGTTTGCAACAGCTATAAAACTGTTCATTCTGAACAATGAAGCTCCAGTTCTCATCAACAAACAATTCATGTGAACCAAGATGAAAACAAATTATTTACCTAGTAAGATTGTAATCATAAATATAATCGCATACTAGACCGGAAACAATTTTAAAGATGAAAAAATATTTAAATATTTTTGAAGCAGCAATTAATACTCATGTTTAATATGAATGACTCTCCTTAATTAAAAAAAAAAAAACTTTTACATTAACCTGCGAGAACATATCTATAATTTTGCCTGATGGAAATGCAGAAATGCTATGTTGCAATGGAGTAAAAACCCTTATGAAAAATGATGAATTACTTAAGAAAACTTACTTCTTTCTTATACAAACATTTGAGTGCCTATAATGCCCCAGGCTCTCTGCTAGGAACTGTGAGCAAAATCAAAACAAATAAGATAAGAGTCCTCACTAGCAAAGAGTTTACAGAGGAATAGGGCAGTTCTCAAATTTCGGCACTGTATTACCCACCTATCTTGTTTAAGTGAAGATTTGTGAGTCTTAATTTCCGGATTCTGATTCCATAGGTCTGGAGTAGGGCCTCAGAGGTGTACATTCTGACTCAGGGAGTCGGAAGTCCAAACTTTGAGAAACACCGGTCTTCAGCGGTAACAGAGTGCACAGTACAATACAATATGTCTAGTATCTGCCTAATTCATTGAATTAGAATCCCTTCGGTCTCCACTCATGTGATCTTTTTAATCCTGAATTCAGATCCAATTCAAATCCTTAATTAAAGGAGTTTTTTTTTACAAAGACCTGCACCTTAAGTTCAAGCACTCTACATCAAGGGCATATTGCTGCTTTCATTATGTGTCTCAGTTCCACCAAACGAACTTCTGCTTCACTCTTGTGACTAAGCAGTCACCTTGAGTACCAGTGAACTCAATAATAAGTCCTCAGCCTTGTTTTTAGAGTCCTGAACCTCTCATTTATTTCAGAATTATTGTCCTGTCTTTTATTCCCCAGTTTTCTAAGACTCAGATCCCATCCAGCGATCAAGACCATTTTACCTGGTGCTAGACCACCCTGATGTGGACCACCTGCCTGGATTTGAGCATATTTCCTTCTCCCAGACTCTGTATAGCAATGATCTGCTGCCCACCCACTGGGGAAACACCTGTCACCCTTTTCTAGACCTCTCTGACACTGTTTGCCTGCCCTCACTGCTACATATCACCTGCCGTCAAAGTTCCCTGGTAATCTTCTCCTGTATTTCCCCAAATCTACGGGGCATTAAAATTACCTGGAGTCATGCTTAAAAGTACAGATTCTGGGGCTTCCCCTCTTGAGGCTATGATAACAGCAGTTCTGGGCTGAAGTGAAGCAATCTGTAGTTTTAAAGCTTAGCATGTTATTGAAAATTTTAAAAAAGGAAGCAAAGCATTCTAATGGTGAAAACGTGTTGGGTATGTTTAAATAAGAGAATCTAATCAATTATTAGTCCATGGTTGTGCTTAATAAGTGTTTTCTGAGTTGAATAGATGAAGTCTTTTGTGTTGAATAAATGAAGTTTGGCTAGAGGCGTTGGCTATACAAAGAGATGTAGCTGAGGGACATAAGAATGAAAAGCTAGACAGAAGCCAGATTCTAATTAGTGATGAATTCTGGGATCCATTTTTTAGACAATGAGAATAAATCAAACATGTGGAGTATTCTTGGCTGTCTCCTACACATTGTGCCTTTCATTATCACTTCTATACTTCAGATACCCAAATCTACATGTCTTATCCATACACTTTAGATAATAAACTTCAACCACCAATGCATAAGTGCTCTAAATTCTATATTAGAGCCAATTCAATCAAAGCAAGTAGGTAGAAAAAAGAGGCTGATGGGCAGGCCAGGTTTGTGTGGATGATAAGGCTACTTAGTATATTATTATTGGAAACTGCAAGTGTCTGATATCCAACGGGAGCAGCCAAATTGGAGAAGAAGGGGTAAATTGCAGAGCCATTACAGGAATTGAATTGATAAAATCAGATTATATATAGGAGAGATGGGGAAAGAATGGCAGAAAACTGTGAAGCTTGGGGCCTAATTGATTATCAAGAACAAGCTTAGAAAAGTGAGGAAGAGAAGTATTCACATAACATAAATTTCATTTTGAATAAATTTGGGATTGATATGCCAACAGGTCCTCAGTTGAAATTTTCTAACAATTGGTGTGTGTGTGTGTGTGTGTGTGTGTGTGTGTGTGTGTGTGTGCAGGAGAGAGAGAAATAGGATAAAATGCAGGAGAAAGCATACTGATGGAGTAATGCTCTAGAGGAGACCCTGAGAGAGGATATCTGGAGAGCATAAATAACGATATGAGTAAATTATGAAGGAGAGCAAATCAGTATCATTGATGTTATCAGTAAAATGAATGATAACATCAAATATGGATGATGCGGGGGAGATGATGTTCAGAATGAGAGCAGAGTTTTCCTATGAAAAACTGATAAAGTGTAAACAAGGAATGGCTAGAAGATGTGGAGCAGCTGGGACAGTTAGAGACGGTGAATTTACACCTAAGCAGGTAGAACCATTTCTATTTTTTCTAGCAATATTCATGAGCCAGCATCTGGCAAAACAAAACAGTGAAATCCTCTCAGAGTTCGGAATCTCCTGGAAGATGAGTCACAGTGACCTGACTTGAGATGTAAGGAGAAAGAGACAGGTGTTTTAAAAGGCATCCATTCCACTGAAGTCTGAAAAGGACGAGAAGGAAAGGATGCTGAAAGCAAGGAGAAGATACACCATGTCTTGAAGTTATGTGATTTACAGCCTCAAGGATAGAAAAGTCTAGTAAAATTAGGTGATGCTGATTTCAAAACAGAAGAGGGGTTAAAAGATGTTTACAAGATAAAGGATTTAAATGGGCCAGAGGTAAACAATTATGCCAATACCCCCAGTCCCTATTACAGAGGGCCTCTAGGGAAGTGGTGTTACCAGGAAGGAATTAGGTTTTCATTTATATGAGCAGTTACAATCTGGAAGAGATAGAAGGATAAAGGAGATTATGACATAGGATTGAGCGCTGTTAGGAAGAATGAGAGTTTTCTTCTTTGTAGACTACAGCTTAGTGACCTGTATATTTTTATTCAAATAATATAAAAGATAAAGGCTGGTATAGAAGGAAATAGATGAAAGTGAGTCTGACACTCCAGCTACACAGTTCAGGGAAACATCTGGAATTCCATAAAATCAATTAAGGCAAAAGAGATAAATACCAAAAAGTTTACACATCCATTCCCTATTATAAATTATGGTAAAACATAACCCAGTAAGTTTGGAGTTTGCATAATGAGAAATAGTTATTTGTGGAAACACAATGAATCAGATTTTCTCTCTGTTTTTCTCCTTTCAATCTCCCAATTTGTAGAGAGGGGTCAACATACTACACAACTGGCACTCAGGTAACAAATGAGAAAAAAAAGGATGTGTTATTTTTTTACATGTACTTCATATCTTTATAAATGTGCTACAAATAGTATTGACAAATGTATGACATAGTCCACAAATAGTTACCTGTTTCATGTTAGTTACCTGTTTCACGTCAGTTACCTGTTTCAGGGAGTGTGCTGACATTGCATGTACATTCATCACCTTCACCAGCTGAGGTTGAAGCTGTTACTTTAAACACATATGAGGTATTGGCAAGAAGTTTCATGAAAGTATACATGTCATCTTGGGGAGAGACTTTTGTAGAATTCCCTTCAACTGTTATCATATAATGCGTAATTACTCCATTTGCCTTTTTGGGTGGATCCCACTTCACTAAAGCTGACTGCCAGCTAGTTGCCATACACTGTATATTCTGTACAACATCTGGAACTTAAGAGATAAACAAATGCCCAAAGTTAAAATTTATAGACATGTAGTAGATTAATGGTTGAATTATGTGATTGCTAGATAAAATCATGTTTAGCAGTAGAGAGAGAATAAGAATTTAACATATCAACCTTTCAATGTGTGCTCAAAAAGTTCTTAATATAGGCTGAATCAAATGGCAGTTGGCCCATTTTTGACATTATCATGTTAATCCTTACAATACTGAACCAGTCAGAATATTTTCTGAGGCCCAAGCAGCAATCACATCCTCAAATCCTCTGTAAAAACTATGTAGCCTCAAACCCAGGCAGCGGTTGAAGCCTACTCTCTTAATCAGAAAGCAGTAGTCTTAGCAGTACTATATTATGGAAACTTTTTATTCAAAACATAGAGGCAGGAGCCTCCCTAACGTGGCAGATCTGGGTCGAACAGTACTAGGAAACACGTAACCAATTTAAGGGTTTTGCTTTTATATTTGAATGGTGTCTTTAAAAGGATTGTGAAGAACTCATCCTTCAGTACCTTTTCAAAAGTCATCAGAGGGAAGATTTAAGCCATCCCAGTTTTTTCTAGATCCTCTCTGAATGGAGTTGGAAGTAACCCAACTTCTCAAAGTTCTACTATGCCTGGTAGACCTGGTGGAAGAGCACTATCCCAGCCCACCAAAGGGACTACAGATCAGAGACTGCTCTTCCCGTGGAAATGTCTGATTATCCATGTCCCCTAATGTTAGCATGGCTTTTCTTGTTACAGCAAAAAGAGGATGGTAGAAGGAAAATTAGCATACAGCCAGTTCATGGATTACAAATAATAAACAGTGAAAGGAAATAACTTCCTGTAGTTATGCAAAACACAGCTAAAGAATACTCAAGTTTTATGCTAATGGGATGACTCATGGTGAGCTGCTAGATAGTTTCAGATGTGATTAGATGGTTGGGGCTTTGAGCCAAGTGATATCAGTTGGACCTCCCAACTTTGGGGAGGGGAGCAGAAGTTGGAGATTGAGGTCAATCACACGGCCAATGATTTATGATTTAAGCAATCATGCCTATGTAATGAAACCCTAATAAAAACTCTGGACATTAAAAAAAAAAGAATACTGAAGTAATTTTTGACTTGTTTACAGTTATCTCCTCTGGCCTAAACTTATATCTTACAAATCCTTCTTCCACTGGATGATAAAGGCATCAGAAGTAAAAGAGAATATTTACAATATGTATGGCATTTAAAATTAAAGAAGAGACCACTTCTGGGCTAATCCAGGGTTCTGGCAATTAAATATCATTAATTATTTGCTTCCTTATTTTCAAAAACTTATAACAATATAGTCACAAAATGCATTAACAAGAGACAGTTGATAATTTATTTGTTTAGTTTATAAACCTAGGTTTTATGGACATTGATTTCACTGACTCTGTGAACCTAAGCACAATTAATTAACCAGCTGATATTAAACCCTTAAAGGTGAAAATTTTATTTTATTTAACCAATCAGAGCATAGAATTTTGTGGCATATTTTTATTTTACTGATACAAATATTTATTGGTTTACAGAGCACTGTCTAAAAGATTAGCCTTGATTTTCCTTAACTCGATATGTTAAAATGTTTTTTCTGTATAGGTTTAACATTTTTATATACTATCACTCATATATGATAAGTATTTCCTACAGCCATGCCTACCCTTCACTGGAGGACAGAAAGTTGATGTTCTAGTTCAGTTTTACCACTAATTTTCTTGGCCCTTTTCATCTAATCTGCCTGAATCATGGCTTCTTTACTTGTAATGTGGGAACAGGGGCAGCAGTAGTATTTTTTGAGCATTTACTGTGTCCAACATTCTAATAAGTGCTTCACATGGATCTTTTCAAATTTTTTCACAAAAGCTTTATGAGATGGCTACTTCTAATGTGTGTTTCCTTTCAGTTAAGGATATAGAGACTCAGAGGAGACAGGAGGCTTTGCCAAGTTTATACAACTAGTAAGTCACAGAGCTTGGGTTCAAATTCAGACACAATGACATCAGAGCATGCACTTTATCCTGTATAAATACTATTTACTTAGCCTGTTTTATAGGCATGCTATGAAAAAAAGTCTCAGGTGTTCATAAATTAATGCAAAAATGATTAATTTATTAGTGAATGGTCTCATTTCAATTTAGAGATTTGCTAAAAACAAGAGGAAGTGCATCTAGTGGTACAGAGAAGAAATAACTAGAATAGGATCTTGTGTTCATTCAATATTCATTCACAAAAAAAAAGGAGGAAGAGTTGCCTTTACACATACAGTCCGGTCGAGAGAAGAAACAGTACATTTTTAAGCCACTATTAAATAGGTCCAAACGAAAACTATTCAGTACACAACAAAGGTGAACTATGGCATGTACATGACATGCAGAAAAGTTGTTTAATTAGACCAATGGTATTGCATAGTCTTCATGGTCCCCTCCACATATTACAAATGGACTATGGGAAAGTACAGGCTTCCCTAGTGACTAGTAGTCTTCAAATGTCACAACTCATCTTCTTTAAAAAATCATAGACATTGTTTCATGAAAATATCAGTCAACCTGTTAAAAGTGACTACTGGTTCATTTCTCCCTCTTTTTCCAAGCTGTCTCAGATGGTACTATGGATTAGGTAATTTTCACAGATATCTAGAAGCCTACTTTGTTCCTAAACTAGTCTTTTATTTCAACTTCCCCGGTTCGAAAGGAAAAATTGTGTGTATGTAAATATATAGAGATTTGATTGAAGATAACAAGACCCAGCCCAGCCTTAAAGCATTAAAATTTGACTTCCTTTTGAATGAACTATTAAATAATGATATTTTATCACATAAAGGGAGAAAGGGAAGGGAAAAGTGTTAAACACAAAATGAAACATTTTTAGATCAAAAAACTGTGTCTAACCTGATTCTTGGGTTGTGAATTTTACTACATTACTAAACTGATTGCCATTCCCGACTTTCGTAAAGGCACATATGCTGACAGAATAGGTGCTGACTGGTTCGAGCCCAACAAGTTTGGCTTCAGTTTGAAAAGCTGAAATGTTCTGAAAAGCAGAAAAAAATTCTTAGTCACAATGCATCATCAAAAATTTGTCTGTAACTGGAAGAAATATTTTATTACATCAAAGTTATGCCTTCTATGTTTAACCTGTGACTTAATAAGCACAGGCATTTTTAATGAAAACAAATACTAAACATGATTTGCTGCCACAGAGTGTGCTCAGCTGATGATATAAGGATGAACTGGGCACCCTCTCAACCTTGAAGAATCTCTTAATTGCCTTTTTTTTAAAAGCTAGAGCATTTTGGTCTTTTTTTGGCCTCCCAGATTCTTACTTGGAATTACATACTGATTACTTCCTTTAAATTTGCTAAAATTAAAGTCCCCAGTTTAAATCCAACTTTTAGATGGTCAGCAATACTTGATTTTTCTTGAATTCATCTGAATTCATGTTTAAATACCCAGTAACATATAGAATGTCATTTATATGTAAATTAGTTTATTCATCAACCTCTGTATGCTAGGCACTGGGAATATAGCAGTGAATCAAATAAAATCTCTGCTCCTATGAAACTTAAATTATGAGTTTTCCCAGACAACTCTTAAATTTCTAATTTAACCTAGTCTCTCAGGAAAATGAGAAAAAGAACAAAACAATTATCACAGTTGCCCAAGAAAAGATATGCTTTCTTATAGAAAATTTTACCATTAAGTATAAAGTCTTCATTCAAAGGTAATTGTCCAACCAAGACAGCAGTTAAGATTAATCAGTTATCTTTATAGAAAGAGAAGACAATCTCCTATGTGGTACAATGTTGAGAATATTGCATTATATCTGACCCCAAATATAAACCTCTTTGATTTATTTATTAAACCTTTCAGTAGTAGAAATTTAGAAAGAATACTAACTCTCAGGGCGCTTACAGGTAGAATTGCATTTTACATTAATCTCTTGCAAGTTATTGACATACTTTAGGGACCCACTGTTACACTAATTCCTTTCCTTCTTTCACACTTACTGTTTACAAAGCATGTTGTTAGATAACCAGGAAATTACAAAGATATGTAAGACACAGTCCTTGTCATCAAGGAATTTTCATATTAATTAGAGAAATCCATAAACAACTGCTCACTGAGAAGAAATTAAACACAAAGCAGATAAATTTTGATTTTGGTGAGAAAGGGCTAGTACCCAGAGAAATGACGGAACTCAACAGATTATGATGAAAAGTGTCAGAGTAGCTTATTGGATAGTGAACAGATTTATGCAAGAGTAAGGTGTAAGAGGGAGACATGAATGAGGAATATTTCCCAACATATTTACAAAAATGTTTTACTAAATAAATCATTTCTTTCAAAATGTGTAATTGACCTGAGATACCAGCAGACGTGGATCTGAATGATCTCCGTGTGGACCACACTGGATTGACTGGGGTGGCAGGAACATTGCCAGCGGTTCTGGAATTATCCTGCCTGCACAAACCCATATATAACTTGAAAGGATACAAAGAAACATATAATAGAAACTGATAGTTGGGACATAGAGGTAGATGAAAACATGGAAAGGAAAATAGGATAACACACTGAGAGAAAGCTAAACAGAGGGAGGAAAGTAAACTAGATTTAAGAAAGGAAAAAGATGGCATGAGGATACATTTAAAGGAATTTGAAAGAAAATAAGACTATCAAAATTGATGAAAGAGAAAACAGATATAAAATGGAGTAACCAAAAGTAGTAGATTTTAAAGAAAAACTACTCCCTCCACTCCAAAAATAAATTATTTAATACTTTATGGTGTAAAGATATTTTTTTCTACAACTGGAATTTTAATGGTAGCATTTCTATTTCGAAAATAGAATGTCTAAAAATCTTAGAATATAACATTGTCATACTCAGGTAAAGGTGTATCCTCATTTCATGCTTAGCCCTATTACAATGCTGGCTGGATTTTGTTGTTCTTTTCTTTAACTATGTATAACAACAACAACAACAATATCTACCACAGTTATCATATGTCAAGGATTGTTCTAAATGCTTTACATAGATTTCACTTTAGAATCCTCACTTTTTAATGTGTGCATCCTTATAACTCCTATTTTGCACTTGAAGAAACTGAGTTACAAGAAGCTAAGCAACCGCCCTAGCACAGCACCGTGGGTCTCAGAGAAAGTTCTAACCTGGGTAACTTGATGCCAGAGCCCTTGACTGACCACTATGCTAACGGTGTGGATGTTGATCACTGTTCTAAGGAGAACAGATCACACATCCACACCCACTCTCCAATACACAGACAGGATTATCCTAAGAATGTGATTACACGAAGAAAATTATTCCTTTTTCCCTTTGGATATCTATTTCCCAGTGACCCACACAGACAAAGCAAATAAAAAATTGGAAAATGTTAAGATTATTCCTGGGACAGATATTAGAGGGCTAGAGATTTAGTGTCATTAATGTAATTTCACACTTCTGGGAAACAGAGTCTGCATTTACTGAGTAATATAATTCAAATTCTACTGAGCCTATCAGATTTTAAAGTAATATCTTGATTTCCAGAAAGAAAGTCACTGTTCCTTATGACATAACCTTAATCACTGCTTTTAATTTTTACTGTTCACTTTGTAAGCTACACATGTTATAAAAATGATTTACCATCAGTAATAAATTGTAATGCATATAATATTGGAGACAATGTTTACTGCAGATTTTTTGCACTCTTCTTGCTGTAACTAAATAAGAACATTCCATAACGTACTCCATTTTCCTTTGGAAAAAAAATAAGAGCATCTTCTTAAATAAATGTCAGTTAACTATAACATATTTTGGCAATTAAATGCTAGAAATCGCACATGTTTATTTGAGACCTTTTGTTATATCAGTTCTTTGGATATTTTTCATTAGTTCTGGAACCTAAAAATGGAGGAGGGGAAGGGTGTTTAGCATTACAACTAATTAGCATTGAAAGGAAAAGAATAATATATCTTAAAAGACCAATTGGTGTGGGAGAATATCCTATCAGAGATCATCAGTATAAACATTTTTCTGAAAAGGTTAAAAACATTCACTTGGTACTTCTAACAACAAACAGAAATCTATTATATTTAAGGTAATAACAAGTTTTAAACAGCCTGAAAAAATTTACTATATACTTTCCAAAATTAACAAAACAGAGCAATTATTTCCTAACTGGTAGATATCTAGAAGTTACAAATTCTAACTAATTCACCCTACGAATTATTCAGTTTCCATATCCGACAAATGTTTTCTGCCTTTTCCACAAGCATCTTTAAATTGTAGGAAACAAACAAGATATTCTTAAAAGATAGCCCTTGTTTAATTTAAAGCAATCCATTTTCCCCCTGTATGTCAAAAGATTTTACTTCAATTTCTGAATTTTTGAAATAAACATATACTGTTATAATCAACCTACCTTATAAAATACAGTGTCAGTTTCATGTTCATGAATTTTAAAACTGTATAGTTTAACAATACCGCCTGGAACAGGACTTGGACTCCATTTCAGCCACACAAAGTCTGAAGTGTAGTTGATTAAAGTCAAATTTTGAGGAGGTGCTAAAGGCACTGCAGGAAGACACATTATAAAACTTACATTCATAACATTTTAGCGTAAAAATATCATCGTGACTCTAGCTTCTCGAAGGCAAGAGTTAAGAAAGATTTATAAAGTGATCGTGTTTTAATTTCAGAAATAAATGGCATAAGTTATTTTGTTTTTGTACTTGGAACTCAGTACTTCCAAATCAGCTTTAAATAGACACTTTGTTTTGAAGCTCAAGCTAAAAAAAGAACGTTCAGCAAAGTAGATGGATAATTGTAAACCGGTCACTTAGTAGACAATCAATAATTTTCCATGCTGTTCCTTAAAAAGAGAGAGCAAGTGCTTCAACAGAAATCATTTGAAGAAATATGGATTCTGGCTTACCTGACTCATCTGTGTAAAAGAAAAGAATACTGGAAGGACCGAGTCCTTTTATAGTTCTTGCAGCAGCAAAAAAACTATATAATGTAAATGGTGAAAGCTCTTCCAATGTTATAGAGTTATCAGAAGTAACAAAAGAGTAATTCTCATTTGGTCCTTGTAAAGTTAAATCATAACTTATTATTGCACCATTTGGTTTTAGTGGGGGATCCCATGATAAGAGAACTGAGGTAGAGGAAAGGTTTTTAAAAGTGTTGATTATTGGTGAAGTTTCTGGGACTATAAAAGAAAAAAAGAATATTAAATGAAACAAAAGTGAATTAGCATTAAAAAGAAGAGGCTTTAATAATAATGGGATTTAATTTTATTAGCAGATAATTATTTTAAGAAATTTAGAGCTTATTGTGTTTATTGAAAGTCTAAGAACAACCAGAATCTATATAATGATAAGATTAATGTTTTCTATCAGAAAGCAATATAAATAAGAGATCACCAACAATCTGCTTAATAGGCAATAAAAGGGTCCAGCCTACCATCCTCTTCAGTTTTGATGTGTAGCTGGGCAGTATAGGTATCAGAGAATCCTTTTTCTGTTGATGGAGTGATTTTTAATATATAATCAGTGTATTTTTCCAGATTATCAAAATACATGCTTCTCTCATACGTAACTAGAGGTGGTCTCACATGGCGAGGAGTCTGCTGTAAGCTCAGAGAAACATAGTAGAAGACTAGACCATTCGGTTGAGCCGGTGGGCCCCAGCTTACGTTTATTGCAGTTGATGAAATGGACTCGTAAGTCAAGTTTCCAACAAGCCCTTCAGGTACTATGACAGGCAATGTGCAAAATATAAAAATTATCAGTCACACTAAATAAAATTTAAGTAAATTCACAAACTGGAGGGTAACTGTTGAAATGGCATCTATTACATCATTGGCTCTCATATTATTTTAATGCAGATGTGGTAAACATCATCTATTACAAAATATCTTCTGAATAATTATATTAAAAATTACTCAAAATAAACCCTGTCATCTTTACTATGTGTGAGGATTGTTTTATGTAATATTCTCTTGGCTTTTCTTTCATATAATATGAATATTATGATGTGTATACATAAAGAAATGTGTATGTATACACAGATATTTAAATATTTTGATAATGTATAATATCTAAAAATTATTTTTAGTTACTTTCTTCTAAAGCTTATCTTTATTGTACATATGAGGTCATCTAGGATCTCTCACCTGGAATAGTGCACAATAAGTGTGTATTATTCATGATGCTATAATAATAACTAATAAAACATTGTAGGTTGGTGAAAATCTTGAGAGAAATCTGTATTTAAAGAATGCCTGAAATGATATTGACCGCATATTGCACTAAAGCATTTTTGCTAAAGAATCTCCAAAGACATATCTCCACATATTTTATCCTGTCTTATTCTGTTGATTGACGTGTAAACTATTTAAATGATTGTTCCAACAACAAGGAAAGCATGCATTCATTCCTCATAGTTATAGTGTCTGTTGATTTATAGTCCTCAGATAATGAACATGGAATTCTGCTCGTAGCAGAAGTTTAGGTCAATATCATTTCTCAATAACAGACTAGTCTTTAAAAAACAAAAGGACAATGGAAACAACTACAAGAAGAAACAGGCAATGATCCATATAACATTATGTTCTCGAAGCTGAAACCTAAAAACGTTGAGAACTTCAATTATTATGATTTTCTGAATATTCAGCACAGACAGGATTCTGCAGAAGCCACACACAAGAAACTCCTCAAGTTGAAAAAAAAAAAGATATTCTGGGTTTATTAGTCACAAACATAACAAGAACAAAGATGCTGCAAAGAGTCCTATGTAGATTCAAAGACTAAAAAGGAAGCAAGTTGCTCGAGGAAAAAAAATGTAGTTCCTAAAGCAAATGGATAAGTACGTTAAGCATTGGAAAATCCGTCCATGTATGCAGCAGCATTTTTCATGACTGTAAGCGGATGACTGTGACATCCTTTGAAGCAATAAAAGTGACAGAATTTTCATGAATGGATGATAACAGTTTTCATGAATAGAAAAGGCCGTTATTACTGTAATAGTTTTACAGCTATATTAAATGCATTTTCAAACTTCTATAATGACTAGTTAAATGTGCCTAAGTAAAATATAGATTTTACTACCAAAACATACAAATTGAAACAATTATACAGTTTTAAAATAATCCTCTTAAAAATTAACAAATGCTTTTTGTTTACATACTGTCTTGATCTGTGTATACTTGAACTGTGTCACTGCTTTTATTCCCATTTCCAACTGAAGTGCTTGCTGTTACCCAAAATGCATAGTAGCTGAATATTGCCAGTTTATCTATTATTGCAGATACAGTCATATTGTCAAAGTCATTGGTTACTTCATGGAGTGTAAAATTCTGAAAAATAAACATATTGTTGTAATTGTTCAGAATATAGTTTTAGTATACATAAACATTTCAAAGTAATTATTATCCATGAATTGGTTTTCTTATTATTTTAATATGTTAATTTTTGAGGAAAATCAACATAGAACATTTTTATTGTAATAATTAAACTGGAAATATGTTTATACTAAAAGAGGAATAGGTGATGGCAAAATCAACATGCAGAGCTGCGAAGAGTAGAAACACCAAGCTTAGTGATGAAGAACAACTGACGATCAACTGAAGATGCTACAGCTGGGCTGATCAGTGCCAGTTTTCTGCATGAAACATTCAAGTGTTTTTCAAAACATTGACTATTTTTAAACAAGTTTGGGAGTATTACAAAATGTTAATATTTTTTCTTCCTAGTGATGAAGGAATTATGAAAGTGTTCACCTCTTTCTAAGAACACAAATAGTTATTATTAATCTTTAATGGGTCTTCTTTTCTTCTACAACCATGGGGAGAAATGGGAAGGCAGCTAGATGCACTCTCTCGTATGTAGAGTGAGAGAAATTTTCAAATTCTCTTGTTTGACTCCTAGTTAGATTTGTTCCAAGGCATTTTTTGATGATTAGGGAAGCTATGCAAACGTTTCTTTTCTTACCAAATTTTAAACACAACATATATATTCAAACATAATCAATTCTAAAATAAAGGAAAACAGACTTTAAAAAAATCACGTAGGCAAATAGTATGAATAACTTTATAATACTGTCCATCTACATCGGGAACTCTGAATCTCCCCAATCTGCACAAAGCTCTTAGAGTCCTATAGACATGAGTTCACTTCTGGCAGGGCAGCCCTGGATAAGCTGTCTAACCTCAGAGCTGCTCCTTCTGCACCTATAAAGTGGGAATAATCATTTCCTTTGCACCGAGAGCTTTGGAGGGTTGGATGATAGGAAGCACACAAAACACCACGATGTCTACACACAATAAAAAACCAATCAATAGTAATTACTTCACTTAAAAGACTAATATATGATAATCAATTTGGCCTAAATTAATAGTTAGGGTGGTTCTGCAATAGATCCACAAGTTAAATTCAGCAAATTTTTTGGTTCCTTTGCTGGTATGTGGTAGGGAAAAAGAGTGAGTGTAATAAAAGACCTACTTCGATTTTGTGATGACTTATTTAGGAACAGGCAAGTTAAAACAATATAACAATCTCACCCAAAATATGATCTGCGAACTTTGATACATTCCTGTACATCTACTTTACACATGGAATAACTGGCTTACTAAAGTATCTCTTAAAAATATTAACATAACTAAGCCATAAAAACGAAGGAAATCTTGCCATTTGTGACAACATGGACAGACCTTGAGGGCGTTATGCTGAATGAAATAAGTCAGACAGTGAAAGACAAACACCATATGATCTCACTTATATGTGGAATCTAAACAAACAAAAACCTGCGCTCAAGGATCCAGAGAACATATTGGTCGTGACCAGAGGTGGGGTGTGGAGGGGGAACAAAGTGGGTGAAGTGAGTCAAAGGTAAAGACTTCCAGGTATAAAATAAATAATTCATGGTGATGTAATGAAAATATATTAGAGTAGCATTTTGGTGTAAATCTTAATTTTTCTTTCTTATAGAATTTATTCTGATTACCTTTGACCTTGCGGACTGTTAAGTAATGAATTATTTTGAATCACCAGAAGTCATTCCTGATGAGTGCGTGACTTAGCATGCATAGACATGCAACAAATATGAAATCAGATTAATTATCCAGATGATTATTTCATTCATCTATTTATTTTTGGAAAAAACAAGTCTTTGGGCTCCAATTATCTAATTAAGGCTTACTCCTTTGTGTATGCAAATGCAGTCAGAAGTTATTTAGTGAAACCTTTTCAAATTTGATTAATCAACCAGTATTCATTTAGCACTTTTTAATATAATAAAGCACTACGTCAGGTACACTGAGGAAATATGACATAAATGGATAAAAATTAAAATGTGAAAGTTAATACACTATACAAAATATTATGAGTAGTAATCGAAGGAAGAACAAGATGGATTGCCAAATAGTAGTAGAGAGACTAAGTTCCCTAAGGTATTATACTACAAACTCAAGTGCTCCAAAATTACAACTAAGTACCAAAAGTAATGGTGCTCTATTATTATAGTTTTATAGTCTTTCAATTAAAATATTTATTGAGCAATAAACCTCTGTGTGATACAATACCAGAGGTCTTCCGGGGATGGAAAGACAAGTGTCACATGACCCTTTTCTTCAAAGTTGTTTGCTACGGCATAAGGGAGCTAAGACAAGTAGCAGATAATGGAAAGCAGAATGTGATATACCGTGCATGAGGTATTCCACAAGGTTCTGCAGGAAAGAGAAGAAAGAAGGAGGAAAAAAAAAGCCATACACTTATTCTGCTATATAATTTTCATTTTGAGGGTTTCTTCTATTCTAGCAATCCAAAATAGAAGATTAGGTAGTGGAGATTTTGATGCTATATTTAACACGAACTTTAGGAATAAATTAAAGCACAGATGAACTTCAAGCAATATGAGAAATGTTTTAACATCATTAGCCTGTGCCCTCTTGCAGCTGTCACACTTAAAAGCATTCTTAAGATTATTTAATAAAAGATTACGTTTTCTAAGATAGATACATTGCAAGTGGGGTCAGATTATATATGCAGGTTTGAGTAAGTAGGTTGATAAGATCATGTTGAAACTATAGTTAGATATTTACACTTGATTATTTAGATGTGGACGAAGAGAACCAAAATAGAGTCACATATAAGCCATAAGTAAATTGTACAGCAGCAAAACCTTTCCTAAGATTCAGAACTACTTTGCAATATTTTTGTTAAATGTATGAAAAAAGAACCTACAATTCGAATGGCCTCTTTGACATCATGACACATTGTTAAATCTGTAAACAACATTGTGGTAAAAAAAAAATAAATAAATTGCACTCTAATACCCATTTCTCTTCCCAAAATAGAGCATAATAAAAAAGAATGGCAAAAATTGCTCAGCGTACAGAGTAGGAAAAAAAAAAAAAAAAACAGATCCTCCTTTCCTATACAACTCCATTCTTAAAGGGCCTTGAGCAGAATGTAAGAATGAAACCGACCTCGGACTTTCTTTTACCCACTGCTGGGTTAGTCCTGAGACAGCTTGCAAAGTTCTGTTTTGAACCTATGCGTTAGCCTAAACTGCAGTAGATACACTAAAGAAAGTCATACTTTAGTTCCAGTGATTACTGCGCGCCAACAACTAACTCCAGAGGCTAAATTTAGGTTGTTAGTCACAAATGGGATTAGGCAACTTGGAATAACTAAGACTTATCTCTAGTCTCCTGCTTAAAAGTATACAGAGAAATAAGAAAGGCCAGAGTCATAATCAACATGCCGTCAATAGTTTCTATCAGTAAGGTATACATTCTGTAATTTGAAGCATTTCTTCTAAATTAGTGTTTTCCAAATTATATTCCAACGCTGCCCATTCCCAATTCAATCACAACCACTCCATTTTATCCTTTTCATATATTAAAGGTCTGTAAAATATTAAGTTTGGGGAAGTAAAGGAATTCTGCTGAAAAAATTAAAAGTATTTCTCTAAATGAAATGTATGTTAGCTATTTTCATAATTATTATCATTAGTAGAAAGTACCCATCTGCAAACTGTGTGACCCTAGAACCTTGTATACACCAAGTTAAATAAGCACATTCTAGTGATTTCATTAGATCTGATATTGAGTAATAATAATGACAATAACCCTCCTGCTAACAATTGAAAATATTTTTAAAATTGAAGAAAAACATTTATGTTGTGTACAGTAATCCCCCATCCCTCATCTGCAGGGCATACCTTCCGAGACCCCCAGTGGATGCCTGAAACCGCAGACAGTACCAAACCCTGTATGTACTATGTTTTTTCCTAGACATACATATTTGAGGTGTGACGGCAAAACTAGCACAAATATCTTTTTCCTTCTTCACAATTTCACAGATAGAAGACTCATTCTTACCATAGATCTTAGCAACCTTAGCATACAATTTTTGTCTTTCCTTATTAAGCCGAGAACTTTCATCTTTCTTTTTTTTTTTTAAAGACTTTATTTTTCCTTTTTCTCCCCAAAGCCCCCAGGTACATAGCTGTATATTCTTCGTTGTGGGTCCTTCTAGTTGTGGCATGTGGGACGCTGCCTCAGCGTGGTTTGATGAGCAGTGCCATGTCCGCACCCAGGATTCGAACCAACGAAACACTGGGCCACCTGCAGTGGAGCGCACGAACTTAACCGCTCGGCCACAGGGCCAGCCCCAAGAACATTCATCTTTTCACTTAAAGGAATCACTTTATAGCTTCTCTTTGACAAATCCAAATTGCCAGCACTACTACTCTTGTGCTTTGGGGCCATTATTAAGTAAAATAAGTTACTTGAACACAAGCACTGCAATACCGCAAGAGTTGATCTGGTAAACAAGACGGCTACTAAGTGACTAACGAGCAGGTAGCGTGTATAGTGTGGATTCACTGGACAAAAGGATGATTCATGTCCCAGGGGCTGGACTAGGATGGCACGAGATGTCATCATGCTACTGAGAATGGTGAACAATTTAAAACTTATGAATTGTTTATTTCTGGAATTTTCCACTTAATATTTTCTTACTGTGGTTGACCATGGGTAACTGAAACCTCAGAAAGCAAAACATGGATAAGGGGGGATTACTGTACAAAGAAAAATAAATTCTTTTTAGCTGAGAAATAATTGAGGGTAAATGAAACCATCGACTCTTTGGAGAACAATTCTTGGAGGAGTAGAATTGAGGGCCATATTTATATACAGGATTTTAAGTAGGTGGCACCTTCATTTTTGGTAATACATTGAAATGCACGTGCAGGTGTGCCTGCATAGATAGAGAGAGAGCGACTAAAATGTATCTGACATTCCTCCACTATAGTTTTCTGTTTCAATGGGAGTTTTATAAAATGTCTACGCATAATTGTCATTGTGAGATTTTTTTCTACCATGCCAAGTCTATATCATCATCAACAACACTAAAGGATGTAAATAAAGAACTAGGAGAAAACTCAAAGTCTTACCTGCATGTAAGTACCTGAAGCATTTCTGTAATAAACAGAATAATATTGTATAATGCCATTAGGTTTTGAGGGAGGCGTCCAAAAGAGAATTATTGATGAAGAACTGAGATTTGCATAATGAACATCTTTGGGAGGGTCACTTGGAGCTATAAAACAAACAATGGGAAAAAAAACTATACTTGTGGCTCCAAATACTGTCTGAAATGTCCTAAATTTTACCTGCCTTTGATAAGTGATGATAATTGGTTTTCAAAAAAACTTAAGAATAACATCTAATTAGAAGTCAGAAATGAAATCCATAAGTTTCACTGGGCCATCCCTCTAACAGGGCATCATAGCAACATCTAAGCAGAGGACAGACGGATTTCTTACTCATGAAACACTACCCCAGTTCTAAAACATGCCCACTGCCCTGGATTTGAAAACATTATAACAAATTTCTAATTCAAAATACATAATATGAATTCTGATTTATCTTAGAATTTTGAAATCCAATAATAGAGGACGAAAGCATTTTATTTTGTTTCATTTAACAAACGCATAAAATGCTGTGTCACGTTGCATGCTGAGTGCATTTAAAATTTAAACTCATTTAACCTCACAAGGACTCTGTGAAGTAGGTCCTTTATTGTTTCCAGAATACAGACAGGAAACTGAGTCACAGATTGACTAACTTTCCCAACATCACACAGCTACGAAGCGAACAACCAATGACAGACAGGCTTGATAATACGTTTTTATATTTAACACTTTTTCTGAGTAGGATATTATTTTACTTGCCTACATCCATTAGAACTCACCTCCCTCAGGTGATCGAAAGTTAACGACATTGCTTCTTGTTTTCCCAGCACCAAATCTGGTGTTAGCTGTTACATAAGTGCTATATTCAACATTATAGTCCAAATCTGAATACTCTAATGATGTTTCAGTTACATTAACAGTTTTTAATGACGATCTATCCCTGAAAGGAAAAAAAAATTGTTTGAAAATTGAAATTTAAATTAAATGTTACATATATATTTCAAGAATGAGTACACTAAAAGCAAGCAACATTTATGCACATAGATTTATTAATAAAATAAAGATGCCACTTATCCCGAAATGCTGAAAAGAGTGAATTTCAGAATAATTCAATAATAAACTTCTTTTGTTTTCAAGTATATTCAGTAATTCAACCAAGTGTTAATAAGATGTTGATATTAGACTTTGCTTGGACTAATCGTACTAGATCTCTAGGAATACTGTGTATTTGAGGCAATTACAGCATTCCTTTGCATGCCAGCGTTTTAATTGTTCAAACATTTGTTCTTTTTAAGTTTTGGCAAAATCTTATTTATTCCATATATAGTGCAAAAGTAACATTTACTTTAGACCAATTCAAATAACTAAATAGTAAATATCTGAACAGTGGTATCTAAAATAGTGAGCCTGTGGGTCAGTCTTTCTTTCTCTAATTAGAAATGAGATTGAAAATAATGTACTTATAACATACAGGAAAGGAAAAAGTAGAGCTCACATCTCTTACTTAATTAAATCTTTAAAATATCTGAAATGACACTCCAGAAAAGAAAATAAATATTGACTCAAAACTCTTCAAGTAAATATAAAATAAAATCCCAGGAGGAGGGAAAAAGTCTAAAGAATAAAATCTTGCTAAGTAACAGAGCACGAGAATTATTTCATTTCAGACATTTTAGTTCAGTTTCCATAGTTTTGACTTGGGTGTAGATTAGAATCTAAACTAAAAAATGGACACGTATATACTGTTGCTGAAAACCATGCATTTTAAAAAGAACTTTAGATTTTAAGAGCAATAAAACTTATTATTAAAAAATTTAGAAAAGAGAATATGATCAATATCACAGAAAAGGTATATGCCTCATGTAATCTAATTTTTTTCCTCCCTTAGAAACACAAGGCATCCAAGAAGTAAATAGATATTCCCTCTGAATATAAAATGCTTTTCCTTTACCACTGAAATATTCGAATTACTGAATCTTTAAGAGGAATAACAGAGTTTAAGTGAATTAACGATATCCACAAAGAGACACATTTCAGCCACGCTTTTACCATTACGAAAGCATCAGTTCACTCCAGATATAAGCATGGTTATCTGAAAAATAGCTGGAAAGCTTACCACAGTGAGAAAAATATGGATGTGGAGTATGTGAGTGGAGACAGGCAGATTAGCCAGGCTATTCAGCGATTCGAAACAGTTTCATCAGACATCCTTTTCAGAAGCAGAAGAGAGAGCTTTCTTTGACTTCACTGAGACCACAGGAAAGGGGCTTTTAAAACTCTTAATGCTGCGTTATTAGTCTGAGAAAGATGCCTTGTCACAGAAATTTTTCCGAATTCCATACTCCTGTCATTGGTCACAGGTCATCAGATCACTACAATATAGCTAAGCCAATTCAGATCTCTAAACCTATGAAATTAGCTAAAGTAATCTAACTGCATTATATCTATTTTCAAAATTCCTTTTCGGGCATATTTTTCAATGCTACCGGCTGCCTTTCATCACTACTTTCTTGCTCTGATCTTCACAGCAAAACACTGCAAATAGGTCTATAATAAGAAAAACTCTGATTATGTTCCGTAGATAATGCAGAATCAAGGCAATTACCCGGAAAATGCAGGTCAAAAATAAATTTTGTCTTACACACCTGGAAATTTCAGTAAAAAGAAGATAGTCTTTATAAATTATCTGAATAACAAACTCAATAATCCACCTCAGTTAGCACATATAGATATAATTTCTACACCCACCCTGGTTTGTCTCCAGGGGCAAAGCAGTGCTAATAAACATTTTTCAGGTACTGATATGTCTTTGTCTGTTTGGGGTTTGCTTTTCTTTTGGAGTTTAGGATTGTGGCTGATGTTTTAATAAGTAAGGTAAGAAAATATCTGAGCATAAATAAACTTCAATTGAAACTTCACCTTCTGAAACAAGTTCAGAATGTATCTAGGCACATAAGAGATGGTTTGCCATAAAACTGAAGGCCAAGAAGAAAGACAAGAAGAGAGAGGAGATGCTGTCCCTGGGGATCTGACTCCATCCTCCCTGCTCAGGCTGAGGCCTGAGCTACGTGCTCTCTGAAGAGCCATCCCAGAGAGCAATCATGCAGTTCAGAGGTCACTCCCTCTCATGCCTCAGAACAGTAGCTCTGATGCTGCTGTAACCAGTTGCTACTCTTGGTTTTAGCTGTTTAGTTTAAAAATCTCTGTTTTGTTCTTATTAGTTTAAAAATATTATAATGGGAATCTTATGTGTTCTATTAAAGTGTTTCATTTCCATTTATAAAACTATATGTTCTATATCTTGATTTTTTCCTCTTATTAAGTTAATAACAATGAACTATATTCTTATTTTTCTGTAGTTGCCTAATGGGATGTATGATAGTATTCAGCCTTCCTTCTATAAATTAACTTGTTTCTCTCCTTTTTTTTACTTTGGTTATTACTAACAATGATGCAGTAATCATTCCTACACAAATATCTTTTCATAAAGGTACTTTTATTTCTGCAGGTTAAAGTCCCAATAGTGTGATTGAGTCAAATGATTGAGTCAAAAATAAAATTTTTTAAATTTTATTTTAATGATAACTGTTCCAAAATAATTACTGTTTCAAATTATAAATTATTATGAATTGGAGTCACAACAACAATGTGTGAGACTACACGTTTGGCCATGCTCTCACGACCAGTGTGGATATTCATCGTCTTATTTTCTGCAAGTTTAATTGGCAAAAATATCTATTTAATTTGCACATCCCTGACCTTGAGTGAGAAAGAATGTCTTCTCATATGTTTATAGGTCATTCATGGTCCATCTTTTTGAATAACTTATTCACATATTTTCTTTTCTCTATTTTATTTTAGTCTTTTAAATGGAGAACAATATATGTCGGGGTTAGGGAGGCATTGTTCTTTTAGATAGGGCTCCACACAAAGAAAGATAGACACCTTCCCCACAGCCTCTGAATTTAGAGATGATATGTATGCAACCAATATTCAACAGAATTCAGCAAAATTTATTGAGCTTCTACTTTACATCAGGAACTATGTTAGACATAAATATGAGTAAGAGACCACCCTTTCTTCAAAATAATGAAAGAAAGCAATAAATTATTATAAAACAGTTCGTTAATAACAATGTGATCTCCTTAAGGACAATAACTTTTTCCCCCCAGTGGCTAAAAGCCACAAAAAAGAGAAAGAGATGAGCAAAGAAATGTTGTGACCAAGAGTAGAAAAGGAGAATAAAGCACAGTGCCAGACATGAAAGAAATTGTTCACTAGAGAGCTGGTTTGTAAGGTTTGAGAGTCAAATAGGGAGTTGAGGGAGCAGGGGAGAGGAAGAGAGGAGGCCTACCAGACAAAGCAGGTCCAACTCTTACGTACCAAAGTCACACACTGTGTGGAAATGAAAAGAATAAAAATGTCACACAATACTTAATCCCTAAAGTAGATGACTGTCAGTATCACCCAAACCTTCCAAGTGGTACACGTTTTCAAACTGAGAAAAACTTAGGGGAGTCCTCAGTGCAATCATTTTACTGATTTAATTCTAGAAGCTTATTAGAACCTTTTAAAAGCTTTTTTTTTTTTAATTTGAGAAATTAAAAGAATTTGAATGACTGAAATTATTCTGAATATATATACGATGCAGTTTTTCTCTGTCTACACTCATTGGTCACACCAAGAAAATATCTTGGGATAAGATTAATGGAGTCTTGAAGATGAAGTTATTTCCTAGTTAATTTATAATTTTTTTTCAAAAAAGAGACATATTTTGACAACTAGAGCATAAAGGAAATTCTAGAGCACAAGAGAAGTTTCTTTGCTCTGCTTTACCAATTCCTTTGCTCATCTTATCACATCAAGACCATGCTGAGCAACAATTGTCCCCGTTTCTCAAATGGAAATGGAAAGATTTAAACAAATTCCCCCATTTCCCAAAGTATGAACATGAATCATTTTCTAGACAAGGCTTGAGACTCTTTGAAACGTCATAATCTTAATTCTAATCTTCATCACTTGATATTTCGTTCCATGTGGACAATCTAACCTGATGATACACTCATCCCTGTCCATTCCTATGAATTTATTTTTAAAACTTTAATCTGCTCTTAACTAAACATTGTAGATTAATCCTTTCACTCACTAAATACTACTCCCCAAAATAAGGAATTTCAACATCCATTTACTTGACTCTATCAAATCTCTCTCTCTCTCATATGAACCAGCAACTTCTGTAACTGTCTTGCTATAATATAGGAAACTGCTCTTCTCTGTTGCACTTTAGAATAATTACTCTGCACAGCTGGGTAGTATCAGCAGGTTAGTAATTACATATTAAACAACTCTAAACTAGCAAGGCATAAATAGTTGCACATTCTATCATCATAAAGCTTTAGAATCTCAGAAAGTCTAAGTCAAAGCAAGGTATTCATTTGTTGTTGCTATTGTTCCTATTGTCATAATTTTGTTGGCTGGCTGATTTGTTTTAATTTGGCTTAATTTTATTTTGCTTGTTTGCCCTTAGCAGAAAAGACACATTTGTAAGATTAAAGGGAAAAGCCACTAAAGACAATGAGATTGAAGCTGAGGAAGCATACACTTATAAACCATGGCCTTGGAGCAGAGATAGGGAGTAAAGGTCCAGAAGACAGGCGGAGGGATTGTACTTGAGCTGGGGGAACAGGACTTCATCCCCTGAGAATGAACTAAATCCCTCAGGCTAGAATACGGAGTTTGGATTTTATTCCAAGAGTAACGGAAAGTCCTTGGAGCGTTTTCTCCAGGGGTTAATCGTTGGGTGCATGGTTAAAATAAAATTTTAAATTAAATAAAATAAAAATTCAAAATCCCATACAATACTGAGATTCATTCTTTTCTTTGTCTATATATACATACATATCCTTAGTCAAGCTTCAAGACTCCATGTATCTGGCCTGC